TCTCCCCCAACAATCTGAGGAAGCAAAACATCATCTCTTTTTGATGCTTGAGGATCCCAGGGAACCCCAGTGACTGACATCAAAGTTTCGGCATCATATCTGTCGTCAGCACTCTTGCGTCGAATGCTTTGCACAGTGAAAACACCTGATGCATTTCCCACTATCTTCTCAGTGGTATTGTCTTTGACTCCCAAGAAAACTCCTTGGTGCCATCTTTGTTCAAACTTGTGACCTCTTTTGAGGAATTCAATTGTTTCCCCAAATGGTGGTAATGACACTCTCCACTCACGACCACGGTGTCTAGAGTACGGTGTCTTCCCATCTTTGACTTCCAATGATCTGTGAAACAAATTGTAAGTGGTGCTAGCATGTTCAACCAACCATGTCAAAACTGGGTGGTCGTCTGGCACCTTTCTTCCATAGCTTGTCTCCAAGGCACTTCTGAGTGTCCTGGATTGAGATTCAATAGCTTGAACTGCTCTTTCAATTTCCCCTTTGGATTCTGAGACTCCTTTGGGAACTTTTTCCAAAACCAACTGTTTGTCAAAACCATTCTTGGCTGCCTCAACTACGGAGTTGAGTGCAGGCTCTGGGTCATACCTCATGACCATCTTGGGGTACCCAAACTTCTTAAGGTCATTCAAAAGACACTTAGATCCAATAGGACCTTGGGTAACTCCCTTGTATGGCAAAACGTGTGCGTAGGTCAACTTGGACCATCGATCATGTACTATCAAAACTGGTGCATGCTTTTTCTGCACTTCTTCTGTGATGACAGTGTCATCCACTGAATTCATGAAACAATAGTCAGCTGAGATCACAGGAACTGTTTCATCTGAATGATCTACTTTGACATGTCTCATTGCCTTTGCCTTACCTCGAATGCAATGTTCACACCAACTCCTAAAAGGATAATGGCTGACAAAATGCTCTTCTTTTTCTCTCTGCGTCGGCGCTGCTGCAGTTGGTAGCGCTTGAGAACCTAGCTTACTACTGCCCGGTTCATCATCTCCACTACCTGCGCTCTCTGTGGTCTCCACAGGACTTACGCCTTCAACCCTTCTGTGGGCTGCCCATGAAAATCCATGGCTATCTTGAAAACTCCTCCAGTCATTGTGATTGGTACCTTCTTGGCTCCCCTTTGCAGGAACGATCCTTTGGGGCCGAAGGTCACTGTCCAGCCTTTCTCAACCAGCTTGGACACAGATAGCAATGGCTTTGCAACATCCATTGCCCGGAACTGTCCCACACCTTTGACTTGTGGGCCTCCTTTCTCACCCATGGTCACTATAGGGTTGCACACCCCATGCACCTGGACTGGCTGCCCTGATGCGTTGGTGAACGGCTTCTCATCCACAGGTGTCATAGCCAACTCCAATGACTGTGCCAATTCCTTGGGTAGGCAACTGGTTGCTGCCCCTGAGTCAACGGTGGCCCAGACAATGGTATCCACCTGAGATGCCAAACTCCCCAGGAAGTCGAGGTTGGAATCAGATCGAACTCCTCCTCTTGGTGCATGCTTCCTGGGCTTGGGAGATGGCGTTTTCTCCCTCTTCTTCCTGGCTTTTCTTTCCATGTAGTTAGCTGCATCACGCACCGTCTTCTCCAGGAATCTCTTGGTGCCCATGCTGAACTTTCCCCTGCCCTTGGACGCCTGGGCTGAATCAGCCCGGCTGTCCTCAGGCGCTCTCGATGGGGATTTGGACTTCAGCTCGATGGGTGCTCTGGGTGCCTCTTCTTCTTCTTTCTTTTCTTCTTCCTCTTTCTCCTCGACCTTCTCTTTCTCCCCTGGCCTCTTGGGGATCTTCTTCACCTCGGGCTTCACTTCATCTTTGCCCTTGTGCCTGAAGCGCTCGTAGTGCTCCTCAAAGCTTTGCTTGCGCTTCTTCCTTTCTTCATCCTTGGCAATCTCTTGGCGCCTCTTCTCATCTTTGGCTTCTGCATCATCCATGGGGCGCTTCTGGGATGATTCTCCTTCTTCTCGTGCCTCTCTCTCTGCCTTTACCTACGATGTTCTTTCTTCCAAAACTCCAGGGCATACTGAGGATAGCATTGCTTGTTCTCCACATGTTGCCAAAAGCTTGCAACGCTCATGGAGTTGAGTGCCTTTCCACATGACTGGCACTTCACATAGGGATACCCTTTGTTGGAGACAGTTTTGCACTTCTCATGCAACTCCTTGAATGGAATGGGTCTTCGAAAGGAATTCTGCCAATGCTCGACCACATCCTCCATGCCTGGTGCTGGCTCCTGGTTGTAGGGCAAATCGTCTGGATCTGTCTCATCAGAAGATCCTAGGTCAAGAACTTCACCATAGGCTTTCTCGTAGGCTTCCTTCAAGACGTTGTCCAACTTGCTGAGGACTTCAGGATCGGTTTTCAGCTTTTCAAGTCTGCTGACAAACTCATATCCTTCAGAGGAAATGCTCTCCTCAGAGGAAATCTCACACTTGTCATGGATCCATTGTGGGATCTCATCCTTGCTCATCTCTTTCATCTTCTCCTTATTGGCCTTCTTCCTTGCTTCATGTGCTCTACGTCTGTCAGACCAATGACGTCCTCCTCTGTGGCGCTTAGGTTCCAGCTTTCTTGCTTTGGGAGGTTCAGGAAGATCTCCCATGTCATCCTTGTCCCACTTGTCAGGGTTGGCCTGTCCAAAGGTGGCCAACTCATAGCGCTTGAAGCTGGATGCTCTTTGTCCAGCAGTGGCTGCTCGATGACTGGCAGCTCTCTGCCTGTCCTTCTCCTTCTTCTTGGCAGCTCTTGGATGTACTCCAGCATCAAGGTCGGCTTGCATCCGACGAGAGGGTGCAGCCGGTGCTGAAGCAGCACGGCCTTCTGCCCTCACTTTGGCCATTGCCTCTTTGGCCTCTTTGTGATGCTGGGCTGCCTCTTTCTTCAACTTGCCCAGGGCTTCTTGGCGTTCCTTAAGAGCTTGATTTGCTTGACGCCCTTTGTCCTGAGCTTCTTTGACAGCGCTCTCAGCCTGAGCAGTCATCTTGCCAAACAGCTCCTTGTTAGACCCAGAAGCTGATGCCAAAGCGCTCTGAGCCATGACGATAGCGCTCCTGGTCACAGTGCTCCTTGAAGGTGCTTGAAGGTTTGCTCGTCTTGGGCTTCGACCACGACGAGAAGATTCATCTCGAGCTTCAGACTTGGGTGGCATAGTGTCTTCCAAGGCAAACAGCGCAGTGATCTCTGGTTCAGGTTGATCACCAGATGATGCTGCAGGTTGTTGCTCTTGAGCCCAAGTGTCAGACTCAACATTAGCAACTTTACGACCTTTGCCTTGATCCCCTTTTCCTTTACCTTTGTCTTGACCTTTCTTACCTTTGCCTTTGCTCTTGGAGTCATTGGTATTCTGTTTAGACCAAGACTGCTGATTCCAAGATTGATTGTTCCAAGACTGATTGTTCCAAGACTTGTTGTATGAGTTGTTTGACCAAGACGAAGACTGACTCTTTCCTTTGTCTTTACCTTTGGACTTACCTTTGCCTTTCCCTTTATCATGTTTTCCTTTTCCCTTACCCTTAGCAAGGGAATCCACATCCATGGGAACGGCTCCTGACTTTGCTTCTTTCCTGGTCTCGACGTTCTCAAGGTAGGCCAAAACTTCAGCTTTCACCTGGTCATACGTGGTCAATCTCGAAGCCTGCAAGTCCAAATGATCTTGCAACTTGTTGGGACACATCTGCTGCAAGCAACTCCTGCAGATGTCATCTTCAAGTGGTTTCTTTCTCCTGTCTTCGTACTTTCTTTTCAAGTTCTCCCAACTCTCAAGCCCTTCTCGAAGCTTATCAAGACTGCATTGACTTGGATGCAGAACCTTTTTCAACAAGGCTGAATTGGCTTGAGGATTTTGAGGATCATATTTGCACAACAGTTGTCTCATGGCTTCTAGGCCAAAGTGGCTACCACGAGATGTGTTCTTGACAATTTCCAACGCTTCTCCCTCAGTCAATGATATGAGGGCTTGTCTAGCCTGAGCTGAAACTAGCTCGGCGCCTTCATCAAAGTCTACTTCTAGACTTGACTCAGTGATCTCTTTGTCACACTGAGATTCAACTTGTGCCACAATCTTCACAGCATTCTTGTGGCAACTTTCAACCCATGTCTTAAACTTGTACCACCAACTATCCCAAGTGCCTGATGCTCCAGTGAACTTATCAGGTTTGGGTATGCCTTTCAACTCTGATCTGTCTTTGTACTCAACAGACCTCTCAACATTTCTGTTGATCTGTAGCTGCTGGTTCATAGCCTCGGTCATTGCCTGATTCAACTGCGCCTGACCCTGAGTCAATTGGGCCATCATCTGCATGATCATCTGGGACATGTTGGGACCGTTGCCTTGTGCTTGTGGTGGTGCCGGTGGAGTGCCTGGTTGCTGAGGTGGCTGCTGTTGCTGAGCCATCCTTAGTCGTTCTTCAGGTGCTTAGAGACCTGGTTCAAGAGAACCCTTGGATACTGTTGGAGATGCACTCCCAGGTTATGGAAGTACCTTTGGAGTTTCCTGATTTTCAGGAGCTTGAGTGTCAACCTTTTCCAGTTGGCACTGTGTAGGCGCGCCAGAGCTGATGCAGCTCGGCGTTGACACCTACACATTCACAGCCGGGTATCAGAACCTCAGCTCCGCTACCATGAACAGAGAATTTGGGCTCTTAAATCTGATGAACACTCCTGAGCACTGATCAGCACCTTTTACTCAGTCAGCTCGAAGGTAGCTGAAAGCACTAAAATGGCTGCAGCACATATACAAACATATATGCTACATGTGACATAGTCTACACTGTACACATATCTGATCAGCTAGGTATATTATATATATATATATATATTATATTGTATATACAGTATATATATATATATTTGACATATCTGCTTCCACCATCAGAACCAAGCACTTGAATTTGGATTCCTACTCGGTGCTTACACATTTTGCCAAATCAGAAGGAAAAATATCTGAAGAGACCCCGCAGAGGCTGAGGATGCGGCTGGCCCTGCCTTTCTTTGTGATTCAAAATACGTCGCAACAAGTCCTGCCCAAAGCCTGCCTCAGCCGATCCGACGTTTGAAAATAAATCGACATCTCTCAGCATGACGCAAGTGTTTGAAGGATTCTTCAGGAAGTGAGTCGACATGAGTCGACATGAGGCTATGGCATGTCTGGCCCATGGCATCGACTCATGGTTTAGGTTGAAGTTTCCACAGTGCACAAGCAATCTGGACTGTAGGCTGAAGAATTGCAACAAGGACTTCTCCAAGGGATCACTTGACTCACTTGGAGAGTAAGAGGGGGGGCTGAACATAAACCATGATGTCCTTAGGAGTGTGATGCGAGGAGTTCTTAGTTCTGGGAAGCTGAAGGGTCACTTTGGAACCATGAAATCCTTGAGCATGCAAACACGAAATGCATAGCAGCATACAATGGGTCGATACGGGCTGCTTTGACTTCCAAAAGCTGAATTGTGGATTCACGGTGGATCCAAAACCTTGAAAGATCCAGCACATCGGTCCTAGTTTCGATTTTGCAGCGACGCCCCAAACATCAGCACCGATGCTAGCCTCCAGGCCTTGGCAATGCTCGCATTGCGAAACTCAAAATTCATCTCTCATGAGACTCATGAGCTACTTTTTGATCTTCTTGCGGAACTTCATGTCAAGGTAACTGAGTGGGCAGAAGTCATCGTAATTCATCTTTGTGAAAGGACGGGCATCAGCACCAGATGCCATCATGAAGACATGGAAAGCCGCCCGGTCACAGAGGAAAGATCCTTGGGACTTCTGGCCAAAGATTGACGCAACAAGCTTTGGCACTTGATTGGCAGAAATCTGGAGGGTAGCAGCCATGCTCTTCGAAGTAGCAGGCGTCCTCCTGAGGCATTACAAGACCGGACCTGGGCCCTGGGGGGACCTAGGGACCTTGATCATGTAAAATGATGTAAAAGGATATTATTCATCTGATTTACGTAAATTCGCAATCCGAAACGTCCGAAACAAGATCTCTGTAAGGTACTCATCTTCAGGATCATGAGATACTTTGGATGCCACTGGGAGAAGCAGCCGCACTGTGTTCAACAGTTTGCTTGCCTTTTGCTCATCAAGCTCGTGACCTGGCCGTTTCAAGAGGCCCAGGGTGCACGAAAGCTAAGGTTCGCACGAGTCTAGAAACGTCATGGGATCTTGATATGTTCAGTACAGGACTGATTTCTATATCAACCAAAATGGAGAAAAAAAACATAATTTTCTGTCGATATTAAGCAAAGCGCCTTGTCTTTGAATGATCTGTGCGCCCGAACAAATATCTCTTGAAGACCTGGGGGGATTTAAGCCTATAACCATCTGGTTCTAAAACGGTTCAGAAATGCACAGGGAGCTTGGGGGGGAAGGGGCAAGGTGGTTTCACGTGAAAAATCACTGTGTTGGAGTCAGAGCTGCCCCTCCCTTGCTGAAGCAAGAGTAAACTCGAGCTAGCTACCGATTAGTCATTTGGAATCATCATCCCAGTCGTACGGTCAGGTATGGAAATAAGATAGTTATGCTAACTCCACATGAACCCCCGACTAGGTTTCAACATGTTCCAAGACTCCGCGAGTCCACGCCTTGGCGTCCAATGGACCAAATGATATCGGAATATCGGAACCCAGGGCCAATTCTTCCATCTCCGTTGCGCAGAGATGTTGGCTGTCCATCAAATCGACGTCTCTGGGACCACGACCACTGCGCTGTCTTTCAGCAAATGATGGAAAATGCCCTGTAAGTAGTGCTGAGCATCATCTGCTGCCAAGGCCTGCCGAATCAACATTCATATGAGTAGCGGAAAAAAAAAAATTAAATTTAATGCCATGCACAAATTAGGGTCGTCCTCTATTGGTTGTGAGGATTTGAGTATTCCCGGAGTTACCGGGTTCATCCGGGTTCTTCAAAAAAAACAGCCATCCCATGAAGTACCACACCAGAGAGGTCATGCCACCCCCCGTCCCCCAATTCAATGTTGTCTTCTGAATTTTGTGTTTGGCGGCCTTCAAAAAAAACAGCCATTTCTGCTGATGATGCTCGGCACTTCCGATCACAACATTGAAGTTGGGGGTTGCGGGGGTAAGCAGGGTATCTCTGTGGTTTCCTGTGGATGGTTGTTTTTTTGGAAGAACCCGGTGAGTTTTTTTTGGTTCCGAGTTCATTTTAAGTGTTGTTAATATGCATGTGGATGTAGATCAGCACACATCCACACACATCGATGCGACAACATCAGCTTCTGAAATTTACGCATTGTCAAAGCATGCGCTTTGTAATCTGTGACAGCCCAATAAAGGTGGATGCTAAGGGCTAACCATCAGCTTGTGAAATTTACCCAAGACGGTTGTCAAAACTTATTCTGTATAATATGCGACAATCCCACAAAGGTGGATGCTACGGGCCACCACGACAATGTAATATCCAAGGCGCTCAGCTTCCAAAGTCTCGCACCTGCCACCTACAACTCTTGCGCCTGCCACGCTGTTTTCTACTTCCCCACTTCACGGCTGCCAATGCAACGCACATGCAACACACATGCAACACACATGCAACACACATGCAACACACATGCAACACACATGCAACACACATGCAACACGAGCATTTTCCCTGTAAATTTCTAAGCAAAGTGGCCGCGGGGGCAAAAATCTACACTTTCCATTCTAAGACCGGAGTTGGGGCTGCAAACGTCAAATCTTGCACGTTGACTGTAAATTTACAGGTAAAAAGCTCATGTTGCATGTGTGTTGCATGTGCGTTGCATGGCAGGTGTGCAGGATAGAGCAGTCACGCTCTCAAAGTGGCGCGCCTGCCACGCAGAACGACAGCCAGTGCACCCCACGACATTGCGGAATCAGGTCAAAAAGGTGTCAAGACTGTCGCTGCATGTATTTCACTTAGCACAACCCATATTAGCGCATATGCGACACCCACACACAAACACCCGCCCAAACTGATCCCGATGCTTTCTCTGACACAGTGTCGTCATCATTCTCGCGTTTGTCTGCAGCCATGGGTCCATCCTACTGTGTCTTTTCTGAGTCCGGGTTCTTCAAAAAAAACAGCCATCCCATGAAGTACCACACCAGAGAGGTCATGGCACCCCCCGTCCCCCAATTCAATGTTGTCTTCTGAATTTTGTGTTTGGCGGCCTTCAAAAAAAACAGCCATTTCTGTTGATGATGCTCGGCACTTCCGATCACAACATTGAAGTTGGGGGTTGCGGGGGTAAGAATGGTATCTCTGTGGTTTCCTGTGGATGGCTGTTTTTTTTGAAGAACCCGGTGAGTTTTTTGGTTCCGAGTTCATTTTAACTGTTGTTAATATGCATGTGGATGAAGATCAGCACACATCCACACACATCGATGCGACAACATCAGCTTCTGAAATTTACGCATTGTCAAAGCATGCGCTTCTGTAATCTGTGACAGCCCAATAAAGGTGGATGCTAAGGGCTAACCATCAGCTTGTGAAATTTACCCAAGATGGTTGTCAAAGCTTATTCTATATAATATGCGACAACCCCACAAAGGTGGATGCTACGGGCCACCGCCACAATGTAATACCCAAGGCGCTCAGCTTCCAAAGTCTCGCCCCTGCCACCTACAACTCTTGCGCCTGCCACGCAGTTTTCTACTTCTCCACTTCACGGGTGTGATTTGTATGGGCCTGCCAATGCAGCGCACATGCAACACACATGCAACACACATGCAACACACATGCAACACACATGCAACACGAGCATTTTCCCTGTAAATTTCCAAGCAAAGTGGCCGCGGGGGCAAAAATCTACACTTTCCATTATAAGACCGGAGTTGGGGCTGCAAACGTCAAATCCTGCACGTTGACTGTAAATTTACAGGTAAAAAGCTCATGTTGCATGTCGTGTTGCATGTGTGTTGCATGTGTGTTGCATGTGCGTTGCATGGCAGGTGTGCAGGATAGATAGAGCAGTCACGCTCTCAAAGTGGTGCGCCTGCCACGCAGAACGACAGCCAGTGCACCCAACGACATTGCGGAATCAGGTCAAAAAGGTGTCAAGACTGTCGCTGCATGTAATTCACTTAGCACAACCCATATTAGCACATATGCGCCCGCGCAAGCAAACAGACACACCCACACACAAACACCCGCCCAAACTGATCCCGATGCTTTCTCTGACAGAGTGTCGTCATCATTCTCGCGTTTGTCTGCAGCCATGGGTCCATCCGATTGTGTCTTTTCTGAGTCCGGGTTCTTCAAAAAAAACAGCCATCCCATGAAGTACCACACCACAGAGGTCATGCCCCCCCCCGTCCCCCAATTCAATGTTGTCTTCTGAATTTTGTGTTTGGCGGCCTTCAAAAAAAACAGCCATCTCTGTTGATGATGCTCGGCACTTCCGATCACAACATTGAAGTTGGGGGTTGCGGGGGTAAGCAGGGTATCTCTGTGGTTTCCTGTGGATGGCTGTTTTTTTGAAGAACCCGGTGAAGTTTTTTTTGGTTCCGAGTTCATTTTAACTGTTGTTGATTTGCATGTGGATGTAGATCAGCACACATACACACACATCGATGCGACAACATCAGCTTCTGAAAGCTACGTATTGTCAAAGCATGCCCTTCTGTAATCTGTGACAGCCCAATAAAGGTGGATGCTGAGGGCTAACCATCAGCTTGTGAAATTTACCCAAGATTGTTGTCAAAGCTTATCTGGATAATATCGACAACCCCACAAAGGTGGATGCTTACGGGCCACAACGACAATGCTAATATCCAAGGCGCCTCAGCTTCCAAAGTCTCGCACCTGCCACCTACAATCTTGCGCCTGCCACGCTGTTTTCTATTCCCCACTTCACGGCTTGCCAATGCAACGCCAACATGCAACACACATGCAACACACATGCAACACACATGCAACACGAGCATTTTCCCTGTAAATTTCCAAGCAACGTGGCCGCGGGGGCAAAAATCTACACTTTCCATTCTAAGACCGGAGTTGGGGCTGCAAACGTCAAATCCTGCACGTTGACTGTAAATTTACAGGTAAAAAGCTCATGTTGCATGTCCCTGTAAATTTCCAAGCAACGTGGCCGCGGGGGCAAAAATCTACACTTTCCATTCTAAGACCGGAGTTGGGGCTGCAAACGTCAAATCCTGCACGTTGACTGTAAATTTACAGGTAAAAAGCTCATGTTGCATGTCGTGTTGCATGTGTGTTGCATGTGTGGTGCATGTGCGTTGCATGGCAGGTGTGCAGGATAGAGCAGTCACGCTCTCAAAGTGGCGCGCCTGCCACGCAGAACGACAGCCAGTGCACCCCACGACATTGCGGAATCAGGTCAAAAAGGTGTCAAGACTGTCGCTGCATGTATTTCACTTAGCACAACCCATATTAGCGCATATGCGACACCCACACACAAACACCCGCCCAAACTGATCCCGATGCTTTCTCTGACACAGTGTCGTCATCATTCTCACGTTTGTCTGCAGCCATGGGTCCATCCTACTGTGTCTTTTCTGAGTCCGGGTTCTTCAAAAAAAACAGCCATCCCATGAAGTACCACACCAGAGAGGTCATGCCACCCCCCGTCCCCCAATTCAATGTTGTCTTCTGAATTTTGTGTTTGGCGGCCTTCAAAAAAAACAGCCATTTCTGTTGATGATGCTCGGCACTTCCGATCACAACATTGAAGTTGGGGGTTGCGGGGGTAAGCAGGGTATCTCTGTGGTTTCCTGTGGATGGCTGTTTTTTTGAAGAACCCGGTGAGGCTTTTTTTTGTTCCGAGTTCAGTTTAACTGTTGTTGATATGCATGTGGATGTAGATCAGCACACATACACACACACATCGATGCGACAACATCAGCTTCTGAAATTTACGCATTGTCAAAGCATGCGCTTCTGTAATCTGTGACAGCCCAATAAAGGTGGATGCTAAGGGCTAACCATCAGCTTGTGAAAGTTGCCCAAGATGGTTGCCAAAGCTTATTCTATATAATATGCGACAACCCCACAAAGGTGGATGCTACGGGCCACCACCACAATGTAATATCCAAGGCGCTCAGCTTCCAAAGTCTCGCCCTGCCACCTACAACTCTTGCGCCTGCCACGCTGTTTTCTACTTCCCCACTTCACGGGTGTGATTTGTATGGGCCTGCCAATGCAACACATGCAACACACATGCAACACACATGCAACACACATGCAACACGAGCATTTTCCCTGTAAATTTCCAAGCAAAGTGGCCGCGGGGGCAAAAATCTACACTTTCCATTATAAGACCGGAGTTGGGGCTGCAAACGTCAAATCCTGCACGTTGACTGTAAATTTACAGGTAAAAAGCTCATGTTGCATGTCGTGTTGCATGTGTGTTGCATGTGTGTTGCATGTGTGTTGCATGGCAGGTGTGCAGGATAGAGCAGTCACGCTCTCAAAGTGGTGCGCCTGCCACGCAGAACGACAGCCAGTGCACCCCACGACATTGCGGAATCAGGTCAAAAAGGTGTCAAGACTGTCGCTGCATGTATTTCACTTAGCACAACCCATATTAGCACATATGCGCCCGCGCAAGCAAACAGACACACCCACACACAAACACCCGCCCAAACTGATCCCGATGCTTTCTCTGACACAGTGTCGTCATCATTCTCGCGTTTGTCTGCAGCCATGGGTCCATCCTATTGTGTCTTTTCTGAGTCCGGGTTCTTCAAAAAAACAGCCATCCCATGAAGTACCACACCACAGAGGTCATGCCCCCCCCCGTCCCCCAATTCAATGTTGTCTTCTGAATTTTGTGTTTGGCGGCCTTCAAAAAAAACAGCCATCTCTGTTGATGATGCTCGGCACTTCCGATCACAACATTGAAGTTGGGGGTTGCGGGGGTAAGCAGGGTATCTCTGTGGTTTCCTGTGGATGGCTGTTTTTTTGAAGAACCCGGTGAAGTTTTTTTTGGTTCCGAGTTCATTTT